GGGGGGGGGGGGGGGGGGGGGGGGGGGTCCGGAAGGCACGTAGAAGCACTTCCCGGCGGAGCTCGACGCCCAAGGCCTCTTCTGTGCCTCATCAATATACCGCATCCTGACCTCCACATGTGCATCTCTTCGTCCTCGACACATGTTGGGGAGATTGATAGATGGGATCATCTTCGACACACGTTGGGGAGATTGTACCCATGTAAAGGGGATGTCCACAATCTGCGCTATCCATCATGAAACAACCCGTTGGCGCCTTCGTTCGGCCTGTTCGGCGCGCCATCTTTGATTCGCTACTGAGGAGCTACCGACCCAGGGATCACCACCATGCAGATCAATTCTTCCACCATTACGGTGCACGCCTTCGACCTTCCATCAGAACCGCATGTCATCAAAACGGGTGCTGAAAGATGAACAACAAGGCTCAACGCCAGCCGCGACATATTCCAGCCCACACCGCTGACTCAAAGAGACCACCGAACCAAAAAGCCGACCCGTCTAGACTCCCATGAGCCCAGCAAACCAAAAAGAAAAAAAAACTGTACAAAGCAGTCTATATATAACGCCTGTTGCATTGTTTTCACCTGTGAAGCTCCACATCGAGATGGAGTGTTTTCTGGACATCTTGGGGGAGGCTTGTCAGCTTTTCCACCACGTTGGGCACCGCAGCCTCGAGCATTGCCGCGGTTGCATCGTGGATCTGCGGGACCGAACCGGCACGACAGCGTCGGATAAATGGACCGCCCGTCGCAAAATACAAGGATCCACGTAAGGACGGCCACGTGTTCAACCTCGAGACGTGTGATCTCCTCAAACCCTTCCAAAGCCTTCTCGCCTATCGTTGACAAGCGCGCAGACTCTACCAGAACACACACACATGGACGGGTGGGGGTCGACCTCAACCTCGCCGCACCACCACGACCACCACCAAAACACAACCAACAAACCCATCGCTCATAAACACAACAACTGTGTCCCGGTGCCGGCCCACTATCACCATCCCCAGCAACGACGACCAAAACCACAACCACCATTCGCCTGCTCGAACAAGGCGTCAACCCAGTTCGCGAAGGAAAAAAAAGCACGGTGCTATCGAGCCACCATTAAACACCTACCCCAAGCTTAGGAATACCCCCCCCCCCGCCCCCCGCTGGTGTTTGCCATCGGGGTTGGGTTTTCGTCGCGTGGCAACGACGTCGTGAAACAAGCTGCCCCCCTGGTGTTTGCCATCGGGGTTGGGTTTTAGTCGCTCGCAATGACGTTGTTAAACAAGCCAATCGCTTTGTGCGCTCGGCAACCAGGTTACCGATGTTTTTATTGCCTCGTTTTTTGTTTTTGCGGTAACCATGTATGGTGGTCGAGTAGATTATGTTGTGCAGGGTCGAGAACCCTCACTCCGCGCAAAGGGGACAATCGCACCACGTTGTGTTAAAATGGGTCAAGCACCCTCGAGGCACTTACACAGTGCTTATAACTGTCTCTGGAAGTGAAAGCACCAGAAAATAAAATAAGCCATTCGCAGTTGTCATTCGTACGCAAGGAAGTAAGCACAAGATGCCGAACACCCTTAGCAGGATGCAGCTCACCCTTCATGCGACTCGCCGAATACCTCACGGCGCTTCGCGCTTGGTGATGTGAGAGCCTGGTCCGGTGAGAACCCGGCGTGCTCCGTCCCGGCTTTGTAGGGATGCGAGGTCAATGGTCTAACGACTACGGCATGCACGACTATGAGTAGCCCCCCCCCCCCTTTCTCTTCTACTGGGAAATTTCTGCAATACTCCCGCATGGCAATCTGTCCACTTGAGTCAGATCCTCTTTTACCTCCTGGTTCCGCTCGGCTCGGTCCGTACTGCCCTTGGTGAAGAAGGTCAAGGCATCGGGGGAAAGGGGGATGAAGCGATACCCGTCCGCTGAACCATCGGAAGTCGTCACTGCCGCAGGCTAACGTAGCAAAGGTCGGGAGGCCAGAGCAGCACAAGCAGCAGCGGCAGCGGCGGCAGGAAGAACAGAAACGTGGGACAGATCTCAGCTCAAACGGAGATAGGAACGCGAACAGCTAAGTGTATGCATAGGACAGCTTAAAGATAAGGGTAGGAAAATTTAGAGACGAGTCTTCGACCTGACCCTGAACCTTCCTGATGAAAGCTCGGCGTCAGGATGGTACGGGGGACAAAGCACGCGTGCACTGCCGGGAAACAAGCAGCAGCTGCAGAAGGAGGGGACACCACCTACGAAAACAACAAGGCGACAGCGACACGACAACAACCACCACGACGACGGCATCAGCCGCCGCAACTGCAAGATACCGCCCACCCACCCAACAATAAAAACAAGACAAACAGCGGCAAAAAACAGCGACTAAAACAACACGCAGCAGCAGCAGCAGCAGCAGCAAGAACAAGACCAGAACAACCAGAACAACGACAACAACAACAGTAGCAACCACACAACCCGCCCTTTACCTGTTGGTCACCGCCGTCGTTAGTTTCAGCGTCAGCGTCGGGGTAGAACCGGATGGACACGTTGGCCCGGCCCCTGGCCATATCCTCCAGCACCACTCCCCGTCCGGCGCCCCCCCCGACTGTGACGCAAGGCCCCGAGAGCAGGGGTACCCGGAAGACAATATAGCGGTGCGGGAAGGGTACATGGACAGCCCGGAAGCGAGAAAAGGGAGGGACAAGGTCTTGTCGGCTGCTTCGCTAGCTGTTGGTGTTGCTGGCTCGACGTCGAAACCCGATTAGGGGCGCACGCAGCCATCGCACCCCCCCAACAAGACTGAGTTTCAAAGCTCGAAACGTTTCCAGCGCAACCGCCCCGTTCGGCATTGGAATGATGGTTGTGGAGGCAATCAAAGCGGTGAAAGCGGTGAAAGTCTGTCCAGCGTGAGTGCGATTCCTATGGCACCTGTCCCCACGTTGCCCCTTATCCTGGACGGGAGAGGCGCCGACGCAACTTCCTACCAAGTCGCAGACTTACAGTCACCCAGAAGCACAAAAAAAACAGTTTCGGGCGATAAAAAGTCCTTATCTGCGACTTCTTGAGCAACGGCAAGCAAAATCTACCGGAGGTAGAGATAAAGGTGCTGCTATTTATGTGCGTTTGGCCATAGAGACCTAAACTACCGTAAATGACACAAGATGACACAACCCCTGAACCGATTATTGTATCAAGTCGACTTCTCAACGGCAGAAAGAGTCACAGCGCTGAAAACGGTGGCCTTAAAGCTGTCTCGTCGAGAGGTTTCCGAAAATTTATTGTTTCATTTATGCATCCTCTTTGTCGTGGCGAAATCTAGAGTTGAAAATTAGTCCAGGGGGTTTGTCATCTTGTGTCATATACGGTACCCATCGATCAAGGCATATACTGCGTGATTGTCTACGCTTAACAATCAACCTTGTGAGAGCTACCAGCACTAACGTCTCATTGATACCACTAATCTTCTTCGGCTTTCCAAAGGGTAACTAGGAAACCGAAACGAACGTATGAGAGGTGAGATTAACGGAGAAATCACGTCCCGATCACATCTCCCAAACGAGCCCATACAATAATACTTCTACAGGTGACCTCTATGTTGGAATCACGTCCCGGCCATATCTCCCTAACTCAAACAAACCGGAGCCATGGACCCAATTACTTCCCGAGAGCCAAAAATTGTCTTACCTAAGGGCAAAAACGAAAAAAAAAAAAAACTCTGCAAAATTGAATGCCACCAGAGAGACGTGGCAAACTCGAAGTTCGATTGGACCAACATATTTTGACCTCTTCCCCTTAACGCTAACCCACCGTTGCCCTCGCTCCCTGTTCCGCCTCCTCCGTAAAGTATCGATGGACCGGTTTGCCCTTGCCCCTGTAGGCGGAAAACGACACGGCATCGAGCAACGCGTTCGTTAGGGGAGGTTAGTCCTTTTCCTTCCGCTGACCAAGGTGGCATTCTCACTACGTGGTGGGGCAATCATCGTCACAACAAAAAGTGGGGAGCAAAAAAAAAAAAAAAAACGGCTGCGGGAAGAAAAAAAATGGCGTCGTGTGAACGGCCTTGAACATCAACATACATCACCAAGGCTAGCATCAGCAATACCCATCATACATACCACGAAAACCATAATCCCGACCATCTACAACTTCAACAACAACCCACAAGACAATTGTCATTCATAAAAGCGCTGAATCGACTTCAAGAAAACTAGCCCGGGACGACACACGCCCTGTTGGTGAAAATCCCAGACAAGAAACGACTAGATGCGTCCCCCGAGATAGTTCATCAAAAACGTTCGTAACTCTACTTGTCACGGACGCAAGACTCACGGGGTTGCCTGGGCACCCCTGCAGACAGCGAACCCAAGCGCACACGAGGGGGGGGGGGGGGGGGTCAAAAACGCAACGATTGGGTCAAACCAGTTGCATTTGATGGCATCGGCAACGCCAAGATTGGGCGTCGTGTCTTTCCCTCCTCTTCCGATCGGAAGAAAGCGCGTCTCTGGAACCTGCAAGCAAAGGGTTACCATCACTACCACTCCTGTGCACCAATTGAAGGCAAAGCACCATATTTTCTGAGGTGCATTTTTTAGTATTTTTTTCCTAGAAAGGTGTACCCCCTTTTGTGGGGTGTGGTTGGCTTGTCACCACGGAAGGCGTTCGCGTCAATTGGACCAGGACGGACATTTGAACGTACTGAGTGGAGACCCGAACGGTTCTCAACGTGAAGACAACAACAACAACAACAACCGCAGCGGAAAAGGTGGAGAGGAGGTAAAAGATAACTCCAGCGTTTACCTTCAACACTTTCTACTATTTAGCCGGGCTTGCAAACAATTCGCTCCTCGTGCTAAACCCTTACCGGAGCCGATATGGCCCTCCCAATATACGACGACGAGAAGTGATAGCTCTGGACACCGACCAGGCCGGTTCGCCTGCTGCGCCTGCTGTTGAAGGACCAGTTGTTCGAGCTGCCCGCACGGAGCGAGCCAGTGGGCAACCCCCTCTCGGACCTGTCGGTCACCAAAAAAAATAAAAACGGTGTTCGCGAGAGTGAGATCTCATCGCGCAGGCAGCAGGCCGTGGTGTAGACCCCCCCACCCGAAAACGCCCGCACTTGAAACCTCTACAATGTACAACAGTTCTGGCCAGGATTGCGGTTCTTAGGCCCCCTTGTGGGCTACGAATGGCGGATTATTACCCGGGCTCGCAGATGGTGCTACTTGTCAAAACTTCCAGACAACGCCGAGCATGAAGTTCTTTACTTGACTGCCTGCCAAGTTCTGTTTAAGTGCAAGTTTTGTTTAATTGCGGGCGGGCCTTGTCCGTACACACACACTCACTGACTGTTTTCGTCGAAGTCGATGAACGCTTCGTACGACCCGCCGGACTCTGTCAACGCCAAGGTTTCCACGTTGGCGTCGTAACCGCCCGTAGTCGGGTCCCGGTCCCCCTCCCTCCCGGGCATGCCCCACCCGGGCCAGGTGCCCCCCCCCCCCCCCCCCCCCCCCCCCCCTCTTCT